CGGAGTATCAACTGAAGTCACGGCACCCCGGCAGAGGACGAGCGCAGTGCCGGCCGGCCGGCGGTGTCCGCGCCTGCGGACGAGCTGCAAGCGGCTGGGAATAGCATTTACAAATGCGAATGCTCCTATTCTAGTACTACTACGTACTAAGTGCAGTTCAACAACCCGGCTGAAGGACTCCCTACAGGGTATCTAGTACATAGAACGCAGTAATGTCTAGCGAAGACGAGGAGGTTGCTCGACCTCAGTACAAGAGACAGAAGCATACCAGAGCTTGCGAGTTCTGCAGGCGGAGGAAAGGTACGCCTACTCACAGCCACTCCATACTCCAACTATACTGAGAACGGCATCAGTTGGTTGTAAGTTCCCACTCTTCAGCTTGCTCAATGGTAGGACGCTCGCCAACAAAATCCTTCTAGGCGACGCTGCTGACAAACCCGACAATCGTTGCTCAAGATGCATTGCCCATGGCATTCAATGTCAGTACGATCCTGCAGCCAAGGTAATTCCTTCTCACGCTGTAATGGCTGCCACTCATGCAGTCCTAATATGTCGCTAGATGAAGCGTCCGACGAAGAAGTGAGTAAGCCTTGTCCAGTCAAGCACAATGTAGAGGTTTCCCAGCCCCAGATTGAATTGATCTAGGCATAGTCACAGATACGTGGAAGCACTCGAAGATCGCCTGTCGAAAGTGGAGGATCTCCTCAAGAAAGTACCGAATCTTCTTTCACCCCTGTCGACTTCAATGTCTGACTGTGAGCACAGCTTCATCCAGAAGCGAGCGCCAGCCCGGAGAGCCTGGAAGACGCGCCGCAGCGTATGCCCTGCAGCAGTTTCCGTCGAGCGACGCATCCGACCTTGCCGGCCAGCGTCCTCTTCCCTCGAGGCTTTCACCCAACCACTGGCACAGACTCTTCCGACGACATCGATCCGAGCGACGACGACGGCCATGCCGTCACTGACGTCAACTTCAAGGGCTACCATGGCAAATCCAGCGGCTCTGATCTCGTCCGTACCATCTTGAACCTAAAGAGCACGCATACCGGAGCTCCGCTCATCGACCTCTAGAGGCCTCTACAGGACATCACAAAGCCATTCACTCCCGTAAGTGTCCATGCGCACCGTGACACTCTCGTCGCCAGTTAACACTAGCGGCTCGCCCTAGAACACACTTGCATTGGCATCAAATATCTTCCCCGCTTACAAGGAGAACGTCTACCCGCCGCGGGATCTCATGCACGAACTAATTGACGCGTATTTCAATCGCCTTAACATCTATCTGGCTCTCCTTCATCGACCGACCTTCGAGCGTGACGTCAAGAATGGCCTGCATCTCCGCGACAGGGGCTTCGGTGCTGTCTTGCTGCTGGTCTGTGCGATCGGCAGCGGGTTGTTGCTAGACTCTTCGCAAATTCAATCGCACGGGCCGCCGCCAGGATACCACTGGTTTGAGCTAGTGAGCACCACGGACTTTTCGCTCCTTGCGCGGCCTAGACTTTACGACCTCCAAGCTTGTGCGGTATGCTCCTTCAGTGACTCATGTGTAGCTCTTGGATCCACACTTATCTCTGCGAACAGCTCATTGCCGCATACATCAATATGGCGAGCTCTCCGCAGGGATGCGGCGTCATGCTGAGCTTAGGCATTCGGATGGCACAGGACGTGGGCGCGCACCGGAAGAAGATGTATAGTGCGACACCTACGCCGGAACAAGAGCTTTGGAAGCGTGCTTTCTGGTGCGTCCAAGCTCTTTGGACTCGGCGGATCAGTTGTTGACTCTAAATATGCGCGGAAGGGTCCTTGTCGCCATGGACAGAATAGCAAGCTTCGCGTTAGGACGTCCAAGCACAATCAACGACGAAGAGTGCGTTGGATGCACAGTCCAACAGCGTTACGTCTCTGTTGACATCGAATCGCCCCAGCTTCGATCTTGACCCGATGACGGAGTGTGACGATGAGTACTGGTCACATCCTGATCCATCGCAAGCCTTCAAGCAGCCACCTGGGAAGCCGTCGAAAGTCGCATTCTGCAACGCGTTCATTCGGCTGCTGAAAATACAAGCTTCTGCTTCGCGCACGATTGTAAGCGGTTTCGACTACAGTACCGCTGAGCGAACACCGGCTTACCTCGTGACAGTTCACGCTGAACAAGTCCAAGCTCTTGCTTGGCTACGTCGGCCCGGAGTGGAAACAACGCATCGTTGCGGAGCTCGACTCCTCGATGAACAAGTGGCTGTATACAGTGCCTCCCCATTGTGAGCACGTGCCATTCGCCCTCTCACTACACTTGTTGAATGAACTCCATTCATAGTACGCTGGGACCCGAACCGCGAAGACATCCTCTTCTTCTACCAATCGGCGATCCTCTACACCAGCTACTATCAGCTCCAGATCTGCATTCATCGCCCATTCATTCCATCGCCCCGTCGGCGTGTTGACAATCCCCCGCTTCCTTCCATGACGATCTGCGTGAATGCAGCACGGGCGTGCGTTCGCGTGCTCCATGCCCAGCACAAACGCATGATGGCAGCGTCGGGCATCACAAGCTACACCTTCACCCCGTTCGAAATGCCGCTGTTCACAGTAGGAACCATGTTGGGTGTCTACCTCTGGTGTGGGGCGAGGGACGCGCAGGCCACTCTGGAGGACATGGATATCTGTTTCAATATTCTCAAGGACTTCGAGGAGCAGTGAGTTCCTCGTGAGGCTCTATTTTTAGCGGCCGGCCGTCTGACCCTATCCCCCTCTCCAGTAGCGTTGGTGCACGAAAGCTGAGGTATTCGTCCCAAATTCAGCATGCACAATCCTGTGCTTACCATCCCGCAGGGCCGTCCTTGAAGTTATGGTCCCCTCTGCTTCCAGGTCACCCGGGGAAGGACCTCGTACAGCACCAGGCTCCAACCTTGC